ATTGTGCTGATATGGAGTAAACCTGCACAGCTGGAGGTGAGCTATGGATGGAAATCTTAGTGCGGCTCACTAAGGTTCTGGTAGGGATTATGGAGGGGCCCTATACCTTTTTTTTTTTTTTTAATAATCATACCATCAGGTAACCATCAAAATCCATACCAGACCCGAAGGGATTGGGAAGGGACCCCCATGCTGTTTTTATTATCATTTTTTTTTCAACCAGCACTTGTCTTGTTTACCTTCTGCTGTCAGCAGCTAAATCATGGTTGTTGGGGATGCGGAGGCCGCCTGCTCCTTCACAACCAACTATTTACAATGAATCCAAAAAAACAAATGAAACAAATGCATTAGTTAATTTTGTTATAACATTTTTTTTTGGGATATGTTGACATTTGTTACTGTGCCTATTCAGAAATTAGGATACATCCAAACCTGTGAAAATCAAGTTTTCAACCGAAAATTGAACAGAACGAAATGCACATGTATATTACAGACATATAGTGCTAATATGGAGTAAACATGCACAGCTTTAGGTGAGCTATGGATGGAAATCTAGCCATGCATGTCCACAATGCGAGGAAACATAAGGTACTGTACACTCTATAAAACCTTATAGTGCTGACTTTTGTATTGTTGTTTATACTGTTCTACCTGTGTGCATCAGTTCCCTTTATTGCTAGTTTTAATTGACCTGGGCATCTGCCATTGCTGCTTTGTTAATTTTGGTCAGAAACACACTGGTGGTCTTCTGCTGCAGTAAGTGGCTTCTGATGTGTTGCTGCCTCTAGGTAAGTCTTCTCTCAATATATGTATTGCTGTATAGATATATGGGAACTCTGTTAGGCCTGAGAAGCTGAAAAAAATTAGTTTTTTTTTTCTTGACTAGCTGGAAAGTATGCGAGGAATGACTGTACTTTTCTGTACAATATTTTACATACTATACAATATGTAATGTTAACAAATATTTATATTAAATATCAGTTTATAAATTTAAACTTAAAAGAAAATTAAAATTAAATACATTTAACCGAAAATTGTTATAGTTTGCCTTTTAAAACTCTCTTATCTTTGACTCTGGGTAAGAGTGGATGTGAATGTTCATTAAAGCTCTGGCAAATGTTAACAATTAGAGACAAATGATTTACTGGCTTGAAACGTGTTCCATTTTACATTCTAAACTGTAAATAGCTGGATAACTTCTGAATATAAGAGACATTCAACAAATAACATGATGAGTTGAAGGTTCTATATTGTTTTTCATTGGGGCATCCCTCACATAACCCCGTGTTCTCTCTGTAATGTTTACTAATAGGGATGGTGAGCTGCAGGTGCTTCTGGCAGATGGTGGTTTAACAGGCTTGAAACGTTGTGCGCTGCAGTGACAGTTAAGTTCCAGGATGCCATCTTGAATTCCTATATTACTAAACCGGTGCTTGTGATACCTCTCTAAAATATGCCTCTCGTGAGTCTACAGACAACAATATCAAGTAAATATTTGCCAAATGTCAGAAATAGAATTCATGCCATTTTATCTTTTGTGCTGTTCAGACCTCTGACGTATATGAGAGCCTGGACTTCATCATATGGTGTTGACTCAACAAATAATTCTTCAGATATTTATTTTCACACTAAGCAATGCAAATTTCAGAAATATTTCTTCTTTTGCTCAACGGTACTGCTTTATGGCCTGGAGTATTGTATTGTCATTGTCTATGGTGAGAAAAGAGAAATAATACAATTGGTTGCTTTGCATTTACTACCTTTGTTACAAAACTGAAATGGCTTTATGCTTCCAGTCTATTTTTACTTTTATTGTACTGAACATTAAAGAAGGTTCACACCCAGCAATTAAATATATGTGCTAATTAGTAATTTATGCTCAGTAATGTTTTGAGTTTACACCCAGTGACACATTTGGAAAACACATTTATCTGGAAGGAGCAATGTACTTTTAGAGAAGAAGAAGCAGCAAACAGCATATTATTTAACTAGAAAATACAATCTGAAAATCTGCTGTACAGTACTGGTAAAAAGGGCTACATTTGATGAGAAACGAGTACCAGTGGGCTAACACCATTAAATCGTTCCCTTGCTGATACCATTATTCATAAACAATGTTATGCTTAACCAGCTGTCAAAAGCACAGCTAGCAATTGCAAGTATTGGGTTGAATTGGCAAACAAGGCTATGTCATTGTATGCAATGATGTGCTTATGCTTCATGTTACTGTCTGCAGTGATCAGTTATAGCCATCTCAAATTTAAAAAAAAATAAAAATATGGGAATCATTAGTTTAAATCCAGCAAAAAGTAGACCACCAATCACATTTAATCTCTAGGGCATGTTCAGAGGGAGGAGCATTTTCTGAAGTGTGTCTTTATTGTGCAATCAGGGATGATCTTCATAAACAATCTTGCAAAAATAAAAAAAAAACAACAACAAAGAAAAGCTTAGTAATCACTTGCAGAAGTCAACTTGCTGCAGACAGATCATTGGTATATTAGCAAGTACACTGGAATGTGAACAGCTGGCAAATGTGAACGTGCAAAAGCCTACATCACTGATAGATACCACCACCTTGGGAGCCCAGTTTTAATTGTTAACAGGATAGCCACAGTAACCCATTTCTTGTCCTTGGGTGACAACGCTCATTCACTGTACTGTATCAATGGAGAAGCAGTGTCACCTTAGGACAGGAAGTGTGTTAGTATGGTAAAGTCTCTTTATCATAGGGGGGAGGAGTTCTGTATTTCAAAGTGGGTAACTGAGCTTGGCTGAAAACACTGACTGAAATGCCACTGGAAAGCGTGCAGAACACAGGACAGCACTGGATTCCTGGCAGAATAAACAGGTATTTTTTTGCACTTATCAAACACATATAACAAAACACTTTCAATGGTGTATTTAGCAAACATGAATGAAACAAATAACAGCAGTTCATTGCTAGGATTTACACATACTTAAATTACCTTTTATACTACAAATATACATGTTTCTCCTAGATTGTAAGCTCCGAGGAGCAGGGCCGTCCTATGCCTCTTGTATTGAACTGTATTGTTGTTGTATTGTCTCCCTTTATATTGCAAAGTGCTGAGCAAACTGTTGGAGCTTTATAAATCCTGTATAATAATAATAATGTGTCACTCTATACAATTTTCTTAATGATTTTTGTGAATCTCTTACAAATTTTCTTACCTGGCGATACTGCTAGTACTGCAGCTTGACAACAGGCTAGGTTCACGCCTATGCAGTTTGAGTTTGACCTGTTTCTGCATTACGTTTTGCTTTGTGTTTTGCATTTTTACACCTGCATATTTTATGCGTTTTGCAGGTTTTTTTCTTCTTGCTAGGCAGATTTAAAATGCATCAAAAATGCGCAAAAACGCACTACATGCATTTCTGTAGCATTTTCCATTGAATTCTATAGAACAAAAAAACACACATTTTTGTGTTAAAAAAAATCCCTGACCCTTTCCAAAAAACACGGGTGAAAACACGGAGATGTGAACGTATCCCATAGGAAATCATGTTAAATGGACTGTAGTACGTTTCTGCAAAATGCTGCAGAAAACGCTTAGGTGTGAACCTGGGGTAAGCCACTTTTTAACAATTAGCCACAGCTTTGTCAGCCTGCCATGTGTGCTAATTAATTGCAGTGCATGCACAGGTAAACACAGATGCAGAGAAGTATCAGCATTTACAAGAGTACAGTTGCATGGCCATTCACATGTAAGGAAGGCTATAAGTGGTATGTGCAGCTCATCGGGGGCCTGAAAACACCCAGAATTTTGAGCTCAGCATATTCTCAGCCTCTCACCTTCCATGTGCATAAGGCCTTAGACAGTTTTAATCAGAACAAGTTTCCACATTGGACGATATTGCCTCCAACAGAAAGTATAACTGGGCTTTAACCACTTCCCACCAGAGGGATGCATATATGAAACCTCCAGATGGGTGGGCTTTGTCGCCGTGCCCCCACATATAAGCGTCCTATGTAAACACTTTCCTGTGCTGAGAGCACACTCCCGATGCACCTTTCCAATCATGTGACAGCTGTGACTGCCAATCACAGCAGTCACATGATCAGAATGGCCACCTGTGCCTCCCAGCATTTGGAACCTGTTGAAGGGCTGGGAGGCGGTGGGCAGGAAGGGGTTAGCCGACATTTTACAAAACATTGGTCAGCTCCATGCAAATTCATTGCATTTACAAAGATTACCAGCAAATGTTGCAAATTGTGAATACCAATTAATGCAAAGAAAGGAAATGAGAAAACATTTGATAAATATGCACCATATGTATGGCTAACAAATTTAGGTGAATAAGCAGTGAGAAACCCTATAGGCAATATTTAGAAAATACTTTGATTGATTAGTTCAGAGTGGATTACGTCAAAAGGTCAGTATTATAACCATTGCTATTTTGTGATTGCAGAAAATTGTACATATTGTAGCATCTCCCAAGAATTCTGAAATTCAGATGTTAGCAGATATGCAATGGGTGAATCTATCTGCAAATAATGATGAACAACATTATTATAAATTGAATAAGGGGTTTGATTGTTTATATGGTTAATTGTGATTGTTCTGTATATCACATCATTGTGTTGAATAGGGAGCCATCTATTGGGCATTCCCTGCAATTGCACCTTTTTGTATTTTTATCAATAAAGAACAGGAAGTGACTCATGTTCATTAAAATAAAGATTTTCCATCCGGCACTGCAGTTCTATTTTAGCTTCCAAAAGAACACACCAGTGAAAGCCACCTTTTTCCTTTTGATATACATTCACTTGTAAGTTAATTCATTGTTTGTTAAAGATATATATATATATATATATATATAGATACATATACACACACACACACACACACACACACACACACACACACACACACACACACACACTATATTGCCAAAAGTATTGGGACACCCCTCCAAATCATTGGATTCAGGTGTTCCAATCACCTCCATGGCCACAGGTGTATAAAATCAAGTGCCTAGACATGCAAACTGCTTCTACAAATATTTGTGAAAGAATGGGTCGCTCTCAGGAGTCAATGAATTCCAGCATGGTACAGATAGGTTGCTACCTGAGCAATAAGTCCATCCATGAAATTTCCTTGCTACTAAATATTCCACGGTCAACTGTTAATGGTATTATAACAGAGTGGAAGCAACTGGGAACAACAGCAACTCAGCCATGAAGTGGTAGGTCACGTAAAATGACAGAGCTGGGTCAGCGCATGCTGAAGTGCGCGGTGCTCGGAAGTCGCCAACTGTCTGTCAATAGTCAATAGCTAAAGACCTCCACACTTTGTGTGGCCTTCAGATTAGCACAACAACAGTGCGCAAAGAGCTTCATGGAATGGGTTTCCATGGCCGAGAAGCTGCATCCAAGCCTTACATCACCAAGTGCAATCCAAAGCGTCACATGCAGTGGTGTAAAGCACAAGGCCACTGGACTCTAGAGCAGTGGATACGTGTTCTCTGGAGTGACGAATCATGCTTCTGACTGGCAATCTGATGGACATGTCTGGATTTGGCGGTTGCTGGGAGAGCGATACTTGCCTGACTGAATTGTGCCGAGGGTAGAATTTGGTGGAGGGGGGATTATGGTGTGGGGCTTTTTTTCAGGGGTTGGGCTTGGCCACTTAGTTCCAGTTAAGGGAACACTTAAGGCATCAGCATACCAAGACATTTTGGACAATTTCATGCTCCCAACTTTGTGTGAACAGTTTGGGGATGGCCCCTTCCTGTTCCAACATGACTGCGCACTAATGCACAAAGCAAGTTCCATAAAGACATGGATGAATGACTTTGGAGTGGAGGAACTTGACTGGCCTTCACAGAGTCATGACCTCAACCCGATAGAACACCTTTGGGATGAATTAGAGCGGAGACTGCAAGCCAGGCCTTCTCGTCCGACATCAGTGCCTGACCTCACAAATGTGCTTCTGGAAGAATGATCGAACATTCCCATAAACACACTCCTAAACCTTGTGGACAACCTTCCCAAAAGAGATAAAGCTGTTATAGCTACAAAGGAAGGGCCAACTCAATATTGAACCCTAGAGACCAAGACTGGGACGCCATTAAAGTTCATGTGCTTGTAAAGGCAGGTGTCCCAATACTTTTGGCAATATAGTGTATATATATATATATATATTGCAATATATATATATATATATATATATATATATATATATTGCATTTCAATGTATTTATTGTGATTTGTTGTTCACAAGAAATTAGTTCATTGTATGCATTCGGAAAAGACATGTATGCAAGCATATTGTAACTTTAGTTTATGCGATTGTGCTGTATTTTCACAGAACTATTCACAGAAGTAAATCTAGTTTTGTAATGAACGCTGCTTCTGTCAGTTTTGTTAGCTAGCTGTTGGCTAACCGTTAGTAGGATGGCAAGTGATTGAATCTTGGGTAAATATGATAAATGGCCCTTCACAACTGACCCATCCTTTAGTACTGTGTTTGATATATTCATGATATACGTGATTTTTTTCAAGCATAACAATTTATAGCTTTGTCTTATACAACAATGTTTGAAAACCCAAGAATTCTGACTCTGGTTTTCAAAGACTGTATTTAGAGGATAAATGTTCATGTCTCCAACATCTTTGGCAAAGAATTCCAGTGTGATCACCTTTCCAATAAAGAAGTCCTTTCTATGCTAGGAAGAAAAAAAAAAAGCCTTTCTTCATATCTCAGTACGTTCTTCTTGCTGCAGCCCCAGGGATAAAAAGCTCAGACAAATCCTTGCACTGACCTTACATTTTTCCTATCCAAATCTTTCTAACTCCTTTCATCTTTTTTTCTGTCATAGCTTATAGTTTTTTTTTCCTGCCTTCTCTGCGCGTTATACATTTTCTTTAACTATATTTTGTGCTTCTCATTTTTTGTACTGAATTTTTCTTGCTTCTATTTAGAAATCTTTCCGTATTTCTAGCATACATCCGGTGGTCACTTTCTTGAAGTGTTTTCCAAATGAAGCTAGCTCCTCAAGGTCACCAGTTCTTGTGCCCAGAAAACTCTGTATTTTAGATTGTGTTTTGGCAGCAATTCCATGCAGTGTCCAATAAGCAGTGGATGTCACTACTGACTAGACCAGCCTTTCTCAACTAGGGTGCCCAGGCACCCTGGGGTGCCTTGAGATTTCTTCAGGGGTGCCTTGGCAAAATTTCTAAAAATTGCCCCAAATTTGTATACAAGCCAGAAGGTGGAACAAGCCTGCCTTTTAGTTACACAAAACCACAGGTTTTCATTGTGCACCATTACGACATTTTAGCCACCAGCATCCTAATCAACCAATGACATCATCAGTTGATAAGGAGGATGTCAACTGCCTGCCCAGTATCCTAGTTTGTCCCTGCCCCTCTCTGTCAATGCTGGGGTCACATTAGCTCAGTGATGGAGAAAAACTGAGAGAAAAGAGAAACACTGGAATACTAGTCAGTACCAGTGTGCAAAAGTGTATTTGCTTTGCAAGAATAAATCTCCTCTAACGTTGGGTGTCCTACTTGTGTGGATGTTGCTGTGTTATATAAAACTATTAGAATAGTTTTTCACATTTTAGAATGGGGTGCCCTTTTAAAATTATGGACAGTCTTGAGGCACCCTATTTTAGAATGTCCATAATTTTTAAGGGTGCTTCAGAACTGTCCATAATTTTAAATGGTGCCTTGACCTAATAAAGGTTGAGAAACACTGGACTAGACCAACGTTTCTCAACCTTTTTATCTTTCTGGAAACCCTTGAAATAACTTTTTGGGCTCAGGGAACCCCTGCTAAAATGACTGTATCTATCACTCACAGTACATTGGTGTAATGAACACTAGGAAGAATGCTCCTTACATTTGTGGTCATTGGGAAGAATCCAAGCTTACAGATAGCTAAAAAAGATCATTTTTGTACCTGTTAAAAACAAAAAATAAAAAGATCATTGTTGTAAGTGGTTAGTTATATGATAGGCAGAAGCTGCTCATTGCTCAAGGAACCCCAACAAACCTCTAGAGCAGTGATGGCGAACCCGTGGCACGCGTGCCACAGCCGGCACGCCGAGCCTTATCTGTGGGCACGCCAGGAGAATCCAGCGGCGCGCTGTCTTCCCGGCTGTAGTGTGCGTGACAGCCGGGTCCCAAGTGCGCATGCACAAGAAGCAGTGCTCTTTGTGAATGGTAAGGCGGTACCTGGGACACATGACAGATCCCAGAAGCCGCCGGACCAATCACAAAACGCAGCGCTTCTCGCGCATGCGCACTGGGCATCCGGCTGTCCGACGAGCGCCCCACACTACAGAAGCCGGGAAGACAGCGCGCGGCTGGATAAAGGAACAGGTAAGATAAAAAAAAAACTCTGCGGAAGTAAGAGCGGGTACCTGTCAAATTCAGGTACCCGCTCCCCCTCCCTCCCCAAAGGTCAGCAGTCATCTCTGTACTGTCCGCAGTCTCTGGTCATCCCTGTGCTGTCCGCAGTCTCTGGTCATCCCTGTGCTGTCCGCAGTCTCTGGTCATCCCTGTGCTGTCCGCAGTCTCTGGTCATCTCCTGTACTGTCCGCAGTCTCTGGTCATCCCTGTGCTGTCCGCGCAGTCTCTGGTCATCCCTGTACTGTGTCCGCAGTCTCTGCATCCTGTCTCCGCAGTCTGGTCATCCCTGTGCTGTCATCCCTGTACTGTCCGCAGTCTCTGGTCATCTCCTGTACTGTGTCCGCAGTCTCTGGTCATCCCTGTCCGCAGTCTCTGGTCATCCCTGTACTGTGTCCGCAGTCTCTGGTCATCTCCTGTACTGTGTCCGCAGTCTCTGGTCATCCCAGTGTACTGTGTCCGCAGTCTCTGGTCATCCCTGTACTGTGTCCGCAGTCTCTGGTCATCCCTGTACTGTCCGCAGTCTCTGGTCTCTGGTCATCCCCGTACTGTGTCCGCAGTCTCTGGTCATCCCCGTACTGTCCGCAGTCTCTGGTCATCCCCGTACTGTCCGCAGTCACTGGTCATCCCTGTACTATGTCCGCAGTCTCTGGTCATCCCTGTACTGTCCGCAGTCTCTGGTCATCTCCTGTACTTTCCGCAGTCTCTGGTCATCCCTGTACTGTCCGCAGTCACTGGTCATCCCTGTACTGTGTCCGCAGTCTCATCTCCTGGTCATCTCCCTGTACTGTCCGCAGTCTCTGGTCATCTCCTGTACTGTTCGCAGTCTCTGGTCATCTCCTGTACTGTATCCGCAGTCTCTGGTCATCTCCTGTACTGTGTCCGCAGTCTCTGGTCATCTCCTGTACTGTCCGCAGTCTCTGGTCATCTCCTGTACTGTCCGCAGTCTCTGGTCATCCCTGTACTGTGTCCGCAGTCTCTGGTCATCCCTGTACTGTGTCCGCAGTCTCTGGTCATCTCCTGTACTGTGTCCGCAGTCTCTGGTCATCCCTGTACTGTCCGCAGTCTCTGGTCATCTCCTGTACTGTGTCCGCAGTCTCTGGTCATCCCTGTACTGTGTCCGCAGTCTCTGGTCATCCCTGTACTGTCCGCAGTCTCTGGTCATCCCTGTACTGTGTCCGCAGTCTCTGGTCATCCCTGTACTGTGTCCGCAGTCTCTGGTCATCCCTGTACTGTGTCCGCAGTCTCTTGTCATCCCTGTACTGTGTCCGCAGTCTCTGGTCATCCCTGTACTGTGTCCGCAGTCTCTGGTCATCCCTGTACTGTGTCTGCAGTCTCTGGTCATCCCTGTACTGTGTCTGCAGTCTCTGGTCATCCCTGTACTGTGTCTGCAGTCTCTGGTCATCCCTGTACTGTGTCTGCAGTCTCTGGTCATCCCTGTACTGTGTCTGCAGTCTCTGGTCATCCCTGTACTGTGTCTGCAGTCTCTGGTCATCCCTGTACTGTGTCTGCAGTCTCTGGTCATCCCTGTACTGTGTCCGCAGTCTCTGGTCATCCCTGTACTGTCCGCAGTCTCTGGTCATCTCCTGTACTGTTCGCAGTCTCTGGTCATCTCCTGTACTGTGTCCCCGCAGTCTCTGGTCATCTCCTGTACTGTGTGTCCGCAGTCTCTGGTCATCTCCTGTACTGTGTCCGCAGTCTCTGGTCATCTCTGTGTACTGTGTCTGTCCGCAGTCTCTGGTCATCTCCTGTACTGTGTCCGCAGTCTCTGGTCATCTCCTGTACTGTCCGCAGTCTCTGGTCATCCCTGTACTGTGTCTGCAGTCTCTGGTCATCCCTGTACTGTGTCCGCAGTCTCTGGTCATCCCTGTACTGTCCGCAGTCTCTGGTCATCCCTGTACTGTCCGCAGTCTCTGGTCATCCCCTGTACTGTCCGCAGTCTCTGGTCATCCCTGTACTGTCCGCAGTCTCTGGTCATCCCTGTACTGTGTCCGCAGTCTCTGGTCATCCCTGTACTGTGTCCGCAGTCTCTGGTCATCCCTGTACTGTTAATTAGTTTGCACTACTGTACGAGTTGTTTTTTCTAAACCAAAAGCTCGATATTCAGGTTTCATTGCAGTGTTGGCACTTTGAAAGAAATAGGTTGGTTTTGGGTTGCAGTTTGGGCACTCGGGCTCAAAAAGGTTCGCCATCACTGCTCTAGAGGAACCC